ATCATGCTTTTTCCCTGTCTTTTCCTTTGGCCTTGTTCTTTCCTGCAAGACAAGGAGAAAGAAAGCAATCAGTCAGCACTTGGAATCAAGCTTCCAGCCAGGAACTGACTGCCTGGAACCCCTTAACTGAGTACTTACCTGGCATTGTTCTCGAGTACTCATCTTCAACATCTTATGCTTCCAGGGAAGATACCGCATCTGCCTGAGGAACAGATAGGGCAAGTGAGAAGGATACAAAGAAGCATGTGGAGACAAGCGTAACAGCACACGTGCCGATACATTCACTACTCTGTCAAAAGCAAAAGTATCCCATATCAGCAGGGTCGAACGTACTCTAGATTTGATGGACTTGTTTTGACCCTCAAATTCTTCAGTCGGCCTTATACTCTGGAGGAAACCAAAAAACCCTCCAGCCCAGTTCAAGAATAAGCCTGTGGAAAGTTACTTCTTCAAAAGCAAAAGTATCCCATATCATCTCTTCTCATTTTTCTTCTCTTTATCCTTCATGCTGCCTGCAAGATAGGGAGAATGTGAACAATCAGCCGGAGCTCTGATTGCTTACCTTGTCTGTCACCTCTTTCAGCAGATCCCTAGCTCGGCGACTTGGGGGACTCCTACTACATGGTTTGTATCGCACTTGACCAAGCCTGAAACTACAAGTAAGCTTCAAGTGAAATTGATACATTACCTTGTGCATCTCCACCAGTTAAAGATATCACCCCTGGATGGAGGAATAGTACTTCCAGAGAAGATGCCACATCTACCTATGAGACAGATAAGGAAAGTCAAGACGATACCACACTCCAGTACTTAGAAGTTTCGTGGTTACGAGATCATTCTCCCACAATATTTCCTAATGTCATTTGTACTAAATCATTCACTTGTACTCACTAAAGGAGAGCTTGAACCTATGTACTTGTGTAAACCCTTCACAATTAATGAGAAACTCCTTTATTCCGTGGACGTAGCCAATCTAGGTGAACCACGTACATCTTGTGTTTGCTTTCCTATCTCTATCCATTTATATACTTATCCACACTAATGACCGGAGCAATCTAGCGAAGATCACAAAAAGCGACCGTTTTCGCTACCTAGGATCTATCTTGCAAGAGAACGGAGAATTAGATGGAGATCTCAACTATAGAATACAAGCTGGATGGATGAAGTGTAAGAGTGCATCCGGCGTGTTGTGTGACCGTCGTAGGCCACTGAAGCTCAAGGGAAATTTTTATAGGATGTCAATAAGGCCAACGATGTTGTATGGCACAGAATGTTGGGCGGTGAAGCATCAACACGTACACAAAATAGGTGTAGCGGAGATGAGGATGCTTCGTGGGATGTGTGGGCACACGAGATAGGATAAGATTGGGAATGAGGATATCCGAGGTGAAGTAGGAGTAGTCGAAATTGAAGGAAATATGAGAGAAAATCGGTTCCGGTGGTTTGGATATGTGCAAAGAAGGTCTACTGACGCTCCGGTTCGAAAATGTGACTACGGGACAGAGGTTCAGGGCCGAAGGGGTAGAGGAAGACCTAGGAAAACTTTGGAAGAGACCCTAAGAAAATACTTGAGTACTTGGATCTAACGGTGACACAAAACCGAACGCAATGGCGTTCTAGGATTCATATAACCGACCCCACTTAGTGAGAAAAGGCTTTGTTGTTGTTGTTGTTGTTGCCGCCTGGGAGACTCGGTACGAGGTCATAAGGACCATGTTTAAGGACAAAGGGTATGGGGATGATGCGGTGCCTCACATTCTATTTGGGATATTTGGTACTGGAATTTGCCCTCAATTGCATTGCCTCATCCAGGGGTCACGCTGTTGCGTGGCTGGTCTGACAATTTGGCCAAGTCCTTCTTAGAGAATGGTGGGGATATTGGCCCTCACCATGTCATGGAAGCAGCCATCTCGGGCAAACGGTTTCAAGCTCTCGATGTTGTGGACTGATTCGCTCACTTGCTCATCACTCCGTTGTCATTTTCGTTGGGTTGATTAAGATCTGGTCATTCATCTTATCTTGACATAATTTGTAGGTTAGGACGGAGTAGAATAATATGCAGTTATTCAAATAAGATTTGATGGTCTGTCCGTCTGTCCGTCATAGGGTGATATGGATGATTTGAGAATTATCGATTCACTCACTGAAATTAAGCTTATTCAGATATTACTTGTAATCTTTAGTTAGCTGATTTCACTACTAGAGTAGTTGCTGCTAGCACTTTACTTTCATGTCAGGGCGATTGCCGATAAGTTAGCTTGTTAAGCACGGTAATGTAAACTCAAATTGCAGTGTGTTTACATAATCAAGCATAATACAATAATTCACTCTCGTCTCTTGCACTCGCAAGCATCATCGTGTGCATGTCTAAACTGAAGGAGGCTTAGTAACAAACTCTCAACATCGAGAAGGTGACAGATGCCGTTAGAATGTAAATTGGTTTTACTGGTCTATTTGATTTAAGTTTCAAACTTCCAATGGACTACTTAAGCCAATAGGAACGGAGATGGATCCGTCAGGTGGTGAACAAATATTTCTATCTGGCAGACCAGCAACCATCTCCTCTGGAAGCAGCAGCACCAAGCTGATGTTGGATCTTCAACCAATCAGATATTTCATGCTCAAAGGCTGTTAAAGATTCAACTGTATCCCCAATACTAACACCGTTACCACTAATCAAAACAGTATCATCAACCTGACCAGTTGAGAGCATCGGATTTTCAGCGCCATGTCCACCACCATTTTTATCGCCACTAACCAAACTCTTTGCCGGTGCAGTCACTATGGTACCCACAGAAGAGGCCTGCTTATCAGGTCCCAAATTGCTCAACTGACCAAATAGTCCACACCCCGGGGGAAAATCATGAACAACAGAGATTTTGCTCCTCTTTAACTTAGGTGACTGGGTACGGATAAAGAAAGTAATTATCTACAAATCTCAAGTAAACCAGAATCATTGGCAACGTTCGCATTCAATTAAAAACATGCATGTAGTGCAACATTTAAATGGTGTAAATTGTTTGAAACGCAAATCCCATGATGTTTTACTAGCAAATAGCTAGTTTTACGTAGAGACAAGATAATTTATGTGTGATCCCAAGATATACAAGAGTCTGCAGTACCACAATACAAGAGTACTCTGCTTAAATTCTCACTTAAAGATTTCAAAACAGAACGAATCTAACAGATTCTGTCTTTATTCTCGAACAACATGGTTCGTTTTCAAAACACCGAAAGATAGAATGCCATTGAACCAATCTGGCAGAACTAAAAGTTAAAGGATCAAATCAATGTAATTAAAGTAAATGTACTTTGTTAGACAAAAACTGACCGAAAAACAAAGCTACCAAATAAGCTATTAATCAACGGTATATGGATTCTGACCTGTGCAGACGTACTACCCAAGGTATGAAGTTTGGTCCCTGTGATGCAAACAAAGACTAAAAGAATCCACAAATATTGGAGTGGTAGATGAGTTTGACAGATTGAAGGTGTTTAGTAAGAATTCCCATTCGATGACAGATTGAAGATGTTTGGTTGGAAGAAATCTGAACACTCTTGGAGTAACAAGATTAAAGATGAAGAGAATGAAAAGAAGTTTTCAGGGAAGAACAGATGATGGGTCTAATCGGTGTAGTTTTTAAACCCCCTTGCTGCTCTTGTTTTTCTATATACTCTGGTGTTATGCAAACAGTTAAGATATTGATAAGTGAAAGTACTGAATAATAAATGAACGATAAAGTAAACACGCCCTACACAAACACAAAAATTTAGTGAGGTTCGGCTAAATTTGCACGCGTCCTCCTGTGATCTCTCTTGAGAGAATCACTAGACTATGGAGAAAAAAAGAATTGACTAGAACTTATTGAAATCCCTATGCTAATCCCCGAAACTTTGCTCAAGATCTCTCTACTACTCTTGGCTATTTTTCGTTAATTTTAGAATTATGGTTAGTTTTTCGTATTAGTCATTAAAAATCCAAAGACCTTTTGTGGTCAATCTAAGTACTTTTGAATAGAGCTCGATTTCATGAACATGTAGGCAAAAAGTGTTTGCGTAACGAAGGAAAAATATGTATGTAAAGTCGGGCAAAATGGTCATTAGGACCTCTATAACGAAGGAGAAATATGTATGTAAAGTCGGGCAAAATGTTCAGTTTTAAGCATATTAATCTTAGATTTGGACACTGTCTTTAAGGATAGGCCTAGCTTAACTGGCAGTTTGCATCCAAGGACATGCTCAATAGCAACGTCAGATAGAGTGGCAATTAACAAACTTAAGAATGCCAAATCAACAGTCTCGTACTTGAAAAGCAGAGGAAATTTCCTTAGTAACCTCCGTCTCAGTGTTATTGACAAACTTAAGTGGACTAACACAAGTGCCATCAAATTGATCAAACAATTTATACCCTCTATGCACAGCCTTAGATTGAAGGGCCCATTTGGAGTTATTGGTATCATTGAGGCGAATTGTTAGCATGCCTCGAATGCTCTTAATTTTGAGAGACGAAGAAGCCATCATGTAATTCAAGCAATAAAAGTATAGCAATCAAATTGAATCAAAGAGATACTGGAACCACAGATCAGGAACAAAAAGAGAAACACACTGAGCTGACTTTAGGCCTTTTGATCAATTAATTGGTACTGATTCGGTCTTCACCAATCCAACATACACATATTACGTCGCTGTTTATCAATTCATCAAATCAAAATAAAATCGGATCAAACGCGATCTATGGCATCGGCCTTTCCAATTCGACAGAAATACATAAGGACCTGAAGAAAAGATCTTGCTGAGAATCGAAGGAAAGAACGCACGTCCCCCCACCCCAAAAATCTTGAAATTTCTTGAAGAATCGCAGCGATTCAAGCAGCGGACCGAAGAGAAAAGTAATCAAGAAATCAGTAATTCCACAGAAGAATCACTGGCTTTCGATACCATAAGAACTATAGTGAAAGCTAAGGTTTGTTGAAGCAAGAATTGAAAGAACACGGCTAAAGTTCTTGAAGAAGAAGAAAGGGGATTTGCAGAAATCAACCTTTCATTTAACCGCCCAAACTGTAACACCAAAACTATTTATAGCTTGACATACAGCTTACATATTAAGGAACCAACATACAAATGGAACAAACAGACACATGACAAGTGGCAATCTATTTGTTATTAGTTACAAGCCCACAGTCAGTCCCTTATAAGCAGGTTTAATTCATATTTGGTCTTTCACTTCAGGTTTTGTCTCCTTGGTCTCTTCTGTTTTTGTCGTCGTGGTCTCTTCTGGTTTTGTCTCCTTTACCTCTTCGGCTTTCTTCTCCTCAATATCAGATTTCTTGTCTTCTTGGGTAACTGCAGCTGGTGCTGCTACTTCAGGTGATTTCTCGAGCTCAACCGCTATCTCCTCTCTCTTCTCCTCAATATCACATTTCTTGTCTTCTTGGGTAACTGCAGCTGGTGCTGCTGCTTCAGGTGATTTCTCGAGCTCAACCGCTGTCTCCTCATTCTTCTCAGTGGTCTTTGGCTTTTCTTCTGCTTCTTCTATCTTTGCCGCAACTTCAGCTATCTTCTCTTCTTCTGGCCTTTCCGCAACTTCAGCTATCTTCTCTTCTTCTAGCTTTGCCGCAACTTCGGCTCTCTTCTCTTCTTCCTGAGTTCATAGATTAAGGGATGTATCAATATTAAGTACATTCATAAAATTACCAAAAGATATGCGCGAGTACGAAATTTTGAATGATTGAAATACCTGCGTGGGAAACTTAACTTAGGTTGTAATTGTAAGCATACAAATCTTATAACCCAACGTAGGCAATTATGTAATAATGTCTCTAATATGTCCAAAACATAAGCAAGTTTTGTTATGTTTGATTCAATGTCCTACGCAAGCCGCTAAAATCAGATGGTGATACGTCGAATACACGCATGCATGTATTTGAAGAAAGTTAAGGTTCACTACAAAGCCAATTGGAATACGAGGAGTAGTCCAACCTTTTATAAGTCCATACAAGATTCTTCCTTCTATCAATGTGTGACTCATTCTCAACACGCCCCCTCACGTGTGGCGAATTTTCAAGCCTAACACGTGAATAGCACAACGGGGTGACGTGGAGCACATGTGGCCGTTTGGCTTCACACATGAGACAACTTGCTCTAATACCATGAAAAAAGTTGAGATTCCACCATAAAACCAAATGGCTATACGAGGTGTAGCCCAACCTCTTATAAGTTCATGCAATATCATTTCTCCCATCAATGTGATACTCATTGTCAACAGTATTTATGCGTCTATATTCCATATCACTGTATAGGAAACTGAACTTAATTGGTCTACAATCATAGTAAATAATTAAAAGAATTATTATTGTATACCTCCTTGAGCAAGGCCCCGAGAGAGGGTTGTTTGTTATGACCATCATCGGTATTTTGTTCAGCCTTGTTTTCTTCCTGCAGCTGCTCAGCGTTCACCTCCTCGGCCTGAACCGACCCCTTCCTGGGCTCCGGTGCTGGGACTGCGGCAGCATCATCACCCTTGGTCTTTGGTTCACTAGCACAATTACCCATGTTAATTTCTTTGGTCTCGATCGAAAAATGTCTTCTTTCCCTCTCTACGGTTTAGTGAGAGAAAGGTTGAAGACCGAGAATATATTAGAGTAGTTGCGAGAGATACAACATTGTGTTTGACGCTTTATAGCTGGGGTCGATTAGCGTGTGGGATAGCATCAAAATCTCAACGCCAGCCATTCTTTCGATGGTACGGAACATTTTTGAGTTTTTATCCATATTTAGCATGCAATATCAAACTTAGCTCTTTAACAGCTGGATGATTATAAATGACATGCTGTAAAATGTATTCATCAATCATGTTCACCTAAATTTCATCGAGAAGAAATTATGAAAGAAAAGATTTTTTTTTCTATATGTATTAATTATAGAATTTTACTAAATATGTCTATTTACATATTTGGAGGTATATGCTACCGATGATCCCCTCCTACCAAAAAAAGGAAAATGGAGAGAAAATCCACTGCTCAGAGTGCGGATATACCCTTTTAGTCTGATATTAAACTATATATAGGTGGATGGTAAAAATAGTGATATCCACACACCCATTTTTACTTCTTACACACTTTTTTTTATAATAGTGATATACGATTTGACTATCGGATTAAATGAATTGAAGAAGATCAATGATCAAACTTAACAAGGATGTGTGAGGTAAAGTGGGTGTATTGGAAGTAAAAATAGGTGTGTTAATAGCACTTTCCTAATGATAAAAGTCAAGTTATTGATGTGAGACGGATTAAAAATAGGTGTGTTAATAGCACTTTCCTAGAGGTCTCGGGTTCAAAACTTGTTGTTGGTGTGGAAACCAAACTTGTGGCTAGGGGAGGCTGAAATGCCTATGTGAGTCTTCCCGGCTCATGAAATGGGCGGATTACCGTAACTTACCACCAGTTGTCCCCCTTTTAAAGAAAAAAAAAGTCCCCTTTTAAAGAAAAGAAAAAGTTATTGATGTAAGACAGATTAAAAAAAAAGGAGGTTCTACATTCTAGTTTTATGTAGATAATGCATGCATATATTTCACAAAAATGTGAAATCAAAAGGAGTAGTTGATACTATGATTTGAGTAGTATTATTTTGTGTTTGTAAGTGAGAAGTTTTAGATTCGATGTTTTGCACGACGAGTTCGATATTAATTTATTCATCCACCCCTTAATTGTATAAAAAAAAGGACGTAGTTGATAAAGTGATTAGTAGACGAAGAATGAAACTAATAAGGAAATATATTGTTTCTAAAATTTACCTTGACAATATATATGCCTTATTTGCAAGATGGAAATGGAATGCTACCCCCTTCAACAAACTTTACCGATCACAAGATCAAAGTTATCAGAGCTATAAGCAACAATGTCAAACAATTCAATAACATCCTTCTTCACAAACCGTATGCAATTTATTATTTATACAAATCCAAAAAAAATTCATATTCCCGCAAGAACAAATTTCACTATCCTCTTCAGATGACAATCAAATCACTTTCATCTTTTCAATGACAATAATAGTGCCACATCTTTAACGAGCCACCTCATATATGCCTTCAATTTATTATCCACAACCCCAAATTTAAACGCCATTTGATCAGGCATCGAAGCAACCCTAAGGTAAGCTTCTTCATAAATTGCATCACACATTCTATCATCAGTTCCTATCACTAGTTTTAACTACGTTATCTTTAGTTCTTTTTTCCTACAACTTACATAATCAAGCTCCAAATTCTATTAGCTCTAAAAATTACAAGACCTGCGTGGCCCACACGCTGTAAATATAGGACCTAACTGCGTCCTTCAAGAATCTGATTTTAAATGTGGGCGTGCCAATACGCGGCCGAGTGGTCAGCATATACTTTGTTCTGAGTGTGCGTGAACTAAATGTAATTTCGATAAGATTATTGTTCTTCAACTTGGTCGTTGAATATGCCGAATTGAGACAACTGATTAAAATTTTGATTAATCATCATGAATGATTGGCACTATGGATCTCACCAGGTGTGCTAAAATGTAAATCCTACAAAATTACAAGACCTACTTGGTGTTGAATGTGGACGTGTCAATACGCGGCTGGATGGCCAAACGCGTACTTCTTTATGGGTGTGCACAAACTGAAATTCTAGTACAAACGATCACAGCGAAGGAAGGAACCTCTCGGCCTTGAAAACAAAGTTGTTCTCATAAAAACTAGCAATCGGCACACACACTCCACATGTGCAACTAAATTTATTTTTATTATTTTACTACAACTTATCATTAATGAGCATGGATGATCACTCAAAAAAGAAAAAGACAAATAAAAAAAGGGAAATGAAAAGGTAGTAGAACGTGGGGAATGTAGGGAGAGGAAGAGGAAGTGAAAAGTGAGGTTTATTTATTTAGTTTTGAATTTTTAAATAGGATATGCTATATTTACATGGCGATAGTATAAAAAACAATAATATTTGTGTTAGGTGTAATTGCTAAATTGTCCGCGCTTTTTATTTTTGTTCAGTTATGATGAGAGGGTTAGAGTGGTAATTTACTAGAATTTTGGTGACAAACAGAATTTTATTAATATGTAGTTTAGATATATAGAACACCAACTTGCCTTAGAAAGCAAGCAAATGACCCTCTAATATAACGAAGCACCACGGTCTGAACTTCTTTGTAGGGAATTTCATCGTCGATTGTAGACTCTGATGAGTACAACGTACCCTTCAGCTTCACCTTAGTCGGAGATGTCGGTTGTCGAGTTAGGTAGTTTATTAATACCACAAATGGGGTAAATGATTTATTTATTTATTTTATTTTATTGGGAAAACTGGACATTATATTATAGGGCCCAAGGCCAAACAAACATACAAAGAGGTCCACAAACTACTTAAGTACAAAACAAAACAGTGGACCTGAACAATACACACAAAAGAGCCCAAAACAAATTTTGGGCCCCCGGACACAGACAGACAAAGCCACAAAACTTCCTAGAACCTTGCAGTCCCCTCCGTTGTCGGTAATGTCGAAAGCCACCAACGCAAGCCGTCCAGCACGCCGACCAACCAAAACCCCAGGCATGAAAAAAACCAGTGATCCAACAATGCAAAGCATCCACACCAATATAAACCAACGCCCTGAACCGGCAACAAGCAGCCAAACTCCTCCAACTTGCAACAACCCACATGTCGATCACAACCAATCAAAGAAAGAAACCAGTGGAAAATCCACCAACAATAGTGCTAATAAAGGCAAGTAAACAGAAGGTGGTGGTGTCACATCCCAACCCGGGCCCCCATCACATCCCAGGCTCGATTCTGCCGTAGCATGATATTGCCCGCTTTGGGCCCCAACCAAGCCTTCATGGTTTTGTTTCTAGGAACTCACACGAGAACTTCCCAGTGGGTCACCCATCCTAGGAATGTTCTCGCCCAAACTCGCTTAACTTTGGAGTTTCGATGGAACCCGAAGCCAATGAGTTCCCAAAAGGCCTCATGCTAGGTAAAGATGGGAATATACATATAATGCTTACAAGATCCACTCCCCTAGACAATGTGAAATGTTACAATCCATCCCCCTTAGGAGCTCGACGTCCTCGTCAGCACACTCTCACCACACGGCAGAGTGGCTCTGATACCATTTTGTCACATCCCAGACTGGGCCCCCACCACATCCCGGGCTCGACTCCGCCGTAGTACGATATTGTCTACTTTGGGCCCCGACCACGCCCTCACGGTTTTGTTTCTGGGAATTCACATGAGAACTTCCCAGTGGGTCATCCATTATAGGAATGCTCTCGTCCAAACTTACTTAACTTCGGAGTTCCGATGGAACTCGAAGCCAATGAGTTTTCAAAAGACCTCGTGCTAGGTAAAGATGAGAATATACTTACAAGGCTTATAGGATCCATTCATCTGGGTGATGTGGGATGTTACAAGTGGTGTGTACACCCGAGTAAAAACTCTACACACCTTCCAAAGAAAACACAGCCGAGTGCTGTGAAGAGAAAAGGTTACAGATCGGGAAAGAGGAAGCAACAAGGAAGGAAGAATCCAACCCGAAATGAGACTGGAAGTAATTGGGAAAATAGAGGAAGGGGGAGAGATGAGAAACATGGAAGTGGAAGGAAATCTGAAGGGAGGGAAGAGAGAAGTGGAAGAAGGGAGGAAGAAGGAAGAAGAACAAGGAAGGAAATAGAGGACTGCCATCGACCCTTGCAAGAGCTCGGGCTAGTGGCTAGGGAGAAAAACTGACAATGAAAAACTCACACAGAGAGGTGAGAAATGCTCTTAGAAGAGAGAAAGACTCTCAGAAAGACAGAAGATGTGTCGACTTGATTTTGGAATTAGATATCTGTGATCTAAACTGTTATTATGGGGCAAATGATTGACATACACATAGAGTGTGAGAGTGATTTGATTGATTGGTTGGTTTGATACCCTTTTCTCGTTGCACAATATCTTGAATTATTAGAGGGAAAGGGATTTCCTCCTAATCCATCAAATCAGAGGAATCCGTGCTGTTAAAATTTGATCAAACGACTAAAATTATTATAACTTTTAAAGTGGGCCCCTGTTTGTAGTCGTTGGATCAAATTTTAACGGCGCAGATTCCCTGATTTGGTGGATTAGGAGGAAGGGTCTCCGGATCCCTTTCCTTATTAGAGCACCATGTTACTTGATGGCGTGATCATTTTGTAGAGTCCAGCAATCCTAAATCGTGAAATATCATCTTAACGGAGTAGGATTCTCTCTCTTTTTTTTTTCCCTTTCTTTTCCTTCCCTCCTATTTGAACGGTCACAGTTAAGCCACGTCAACATTTTATATTAATTTTTTATAGAAAGAGAAAAATAAAATAGAGAATGTAAGAGGATGGGATAAAAAGGGATGGAAAGAGAAGAAGAGATAATCCTAATCCTGACATGTTTGAAAATTATCTTCACTTCAGAAACTAATCAACGAAAAGCCTCCCAAGACCAGATAAACCACGTGGCAATAATATCTTCCCAAGCTTTATCCGTTGCAACTCCCCTTGGTTTTTCCATGCATATGCAATCCATGCGTTGTTAATTTTGTTCACAAAACTCAATCTGATCTTGGTTGTAAAGTGTATATATCCACTAATATCCAAAAAGTCCCCAAGTTATAAAATCGTTAAGATAATTGTCACATTCCACCTCATTTTCCATACATCTAACGGCGTACAATCGGCCGACGAAGGGTGCAAAATTGGGTCCAAACGGTATGCAAGGTGCATTATGAATTTAATTAATAGGGCTGAAAATTAGAGTACGTACATAGAACAGTTGAAGAAACATAATACAAAACTATGAATTTTACTAAAAACAAAGGAATGCTACGAATTGTACAAATTCAATTTCTTTAAGTTTCTTATTCTTTTGTTTATTACACTCTAATTTTTAACTGGGCATCAGAGCAGGTTTAATCTTTAAGGGCTTGAATTGATTAGTTTGTCCATTGTTCTTTGTCTCTTCTGCTCGAGGTTTTAAAAGACGTAAGACGCTAGTCGGGCGGTAGGCTGAGACTAAGCGGGCTAGGTGGATTTAATTAAATTTATTAAATAACATATAACTAAGAAAAAACTTAAAATTAACTTAAGCCATCATGGCATTGGATCATCACATTAACACAGTAAAAATAAGAAAAACTCAAAACCCAAAACCAAATTTGAAAATTCAATAAGAAATTGGCATTATCTTTCATCATAGATTAATCAATTATTAATGATGCAATGAATAAATATATGTAAATGTGATTGTGCATCTAAAATTCAACATCATTCAATTGCACATCCACGAGTCAGCGCCATTGGCACAGTCAAAGTTGGCACGAGAGGAGGCAAAAGAGAGAGAGAGAATGCATCTATGCGAAGAGACAAAGAGGAGAAAAATAATTTGGGTTCTTTTTGGGTAGGTAACCAAAAAAACCTTTTAATTTAATTCAAAAAAAAATGAAAAACAACGAAATTGCCTATAGCTACTGCCTACCACCACCTAGCTACTGCCTACCACCACTTGTCCTGCCTAGCCCCTACCCGATTTTCCTCCACGGCCTAAATCGTATTGGTCCCAGCGCCTAAGCTGATTTTTAGAACAATGTTTATGCTTCTCCATTGTTTGTTTTCTTCAATTTTAAATTCATGTAAGTTGTTTGTTTTTGGTTTCATTTAACGTTTGTTAGATTTGAGTTAATTAATTCAAAATCTTCTTCATAATTATTACATGTATTACACAAATGTAATTTTCACTAGTAATTAGTGTAGGATTCCTACCTAAATAAGGATTGATAAACTTCATACACATCAATATAAGGAGTCATATTTTTACATAGCATTAGAGTAGGTTGTGTTGAATATATCATTCCAACTCAACAATAGTTAGTTAGACAGTTGAGAATGTGGCTGTGTTGTTATAGTCGTTATTGAATTAGTTAGTTAAATAGGTTAGGCTGCAAGCTAGTCATGATGGCTATATAAACTGTTTCTCGTAGTTGTAAAGATAAATTCAGTATCAATGTAATCAATTACTTTCTCCCTTTCTCTTATTCCCTTCTCTCTCTTCTTTTTTGATACATGCTCTTTCTGCATTTATGTGTTTTTCTGCATTTCTGTTAATATGGTATCATTCGCCCAGACAATCCTTGGTACCATCATCTTCCACTGAAGGTTACAAACTAGTGATCTTGTTGGGAAGCTTCGATTTGTGTTTCTTCATCTGGGTTTCGATGTGATACTCCTTGCGATCGGTTGAAGTTTGATGGTGGTTGAAGTTTCTTGGGGTTTTTTTTTTCTGCTCAAAGGTCCAGATTTCCATTCGTATCAGGTTCTTTCTTTTTGATTTCACAGTGCACACCATCATTTGAGTTATGTTCTAGTCAAAAAATGTTTGCTATTTTTCTGAAAGATTGAAGGCCAATAGCCATTGTTAGATGATTGAAAAGGCCAATAGCCATTGTTGAGCACATCTAAGGCCGATAGCCATTATTTGATTAAGATTTGGTGATTTTTCATAAGTTGTTTCATTGACAAGTGTCAATAGCCAAAAGATAAGACGGGTAATATATTTGGTTTTCAAGAACAAGTCTTGTTTGTCTGTGGTATCATTTTCTGTATCAATATTATATGTGTTCTGGTTCTAATGATGGAATCTAGTGTTAAGATTGAAGGGTTGCTTGGTACGCTCACTGTGAAGCTTCAGGATGATAATTTCGTCAAATGGAGTTTTCAGTTTCAGTTTTAGGATGAATTATGTGTTAATTCATGTATTAAGGCCGATTGCCATTTACTGTTTTAGAAGAATATAAAGGTCGATTGCCATTTCTTCTAAGAGAAAGATTGTTTAGTAGGATTTGAAGGCCGATTGCCATTTCTGAAAGATTGATTCTTTGATTCATTGTTGGGTATTGTTTGGTTGTTTGAGATTTGTGCCCTCGAAAAAGGCCGATTGCCAAGAGTGTGTTAAATGCAATTTGTTTCCTCGATAAGGCCGATAGCCAGAGTGAAAAGTTTTGTCTCAGATATTGTATGTTACTCCTTAAAGGCCGATAGGCCGATTGCCGGAGTGCAGTTCTTGTTCCCTTTCTTCATTGAAGCTCGATTGCCGAAGAGGGGTGTGTTTCTTGATTTCTGTGATTGTACAGCAAGTTCGAAAATGAGCAGTGATCTGACGAACCCACCTGGACTGGTCGTATCAACCACGGAACTCATCCTCGCATTCCTCACCTCAAGCTTCCACAAGCCCACACCTCTCTCTTAAACTCCAGCAAATTGCTTCCAATCTCTCCTCCAAAACCACTGTACCGTATTGCATCCGATGCCTCGACCCGACTGCACTTGGCCCAACTCTTCTCCGGATGCAAGTTTGTCCTCACTAGCCATAAAAAAAAAGAGTAAGGAGTTGAAGGTTAGACTTAAGAAGCTGGCTGAAGTTTGGGAGAGGAATGCATATGCAGAACATGTGAAGGATATTACAGAAAGAAACCACTGCTAGAGGCATTTTTGGATTGGTCATTGGCATGCTCGTGGAAACATTTGTCTTCTTCCACATCGAAGCTAAAGATGAATAAGTAGACTTGGTCTCTAGAGTTGGAACTCTCATGACGGGGCTGCCAGGTTGTACTGCTTTTCTCAAGCACTCATTCAATCTCAAACTGGGAAACCCAGTTGAGATTGAGGGGGGATGTTGAATATATCTTTCCAGCTCAACAATAGTTAGTTAGACAGTTGAGAATGTGGCTGTGTTGTTATAGCCGTTATCGAATTAGTTAGTTAAATAGCTTAGGCTGCAAGCTAGTCATGATGGCTATATAAATTGTATTCTCATAGTTGTAAAGATAAATTCAGTATCAATGTAATCAATTACTTTTTCCCTTTCTCTTATTCCTTTCTCTCTCTTCTTCTTCGATACATGCTCTTTCTGCATTTATGTGTTTTTCTGCATTTATGTTAATAGGTTGTACCATATGTGAAGCCCAAAGACCACACATGCTCTACATCACCCGATTTGTGTTGTCTACGTGTTAGCTAAGCTTGAAAATTCGCCACACATTAGGGAGCGTGATTAGAGTATGAATCTCACATCGGCCGGGTAAAGGAGGAGCCTTGGGTCCTACGGTCCACTTTCGTTCTAGTCAATCCGTGCTCGTTTTCTATCTTGATTAGGGTTTCGTTCTAGTCAGTCAGTTGGGTTTTGTTTTGCCAAAAAAAAGGTAGTTTGATCATGTTTATTCGTTCGTTTTTTGAAGACCTTTTCTCCATTTCTTCACAAACGGGGAGCATTCATGTACTTTCTTTTCATATAATCTTGCATCAGCATCTGCATCTACTTGTTCTAAGTTTGAGTTCATCCCAAATCTACATGGCTTTGGCATCCAGAATATGCATCTGCATATGAACCTGTCTGTGCATCAAATCTCTATGGAATATCTGGCTTCGGCATCTGCATCTGTGTCAGTTGGCAAACTCATGTTGTCTACCACTGAGTTTGCCAGACGTTGTAGTAGAATTTGTCCTTTATAGTCTTTTAACCATAACAATATTTATTTATTTTTAAAAATTAAATAAAGGGTGTACTTCGATAAATAAAAGGTGTTTTAATAGAAAATTTCAATCAATAAAACATTAAGTTTCGTATCATATTAGAAGATTTGACAGTCTGCTTAAAACTGTCCCATGGGTTTTATCCTGCATGGTAGCTACATAATCACTAAAAGTCTGCTCAAAATCAATACTACTGATCTTCTAATAATAATTGAAAAGAAGATACTTGACCAATCAATGCAAGATTCAATAAAATAAACAAAAATGGCGAGTTGATTTTCATCAAAGTAGCTCTCCAAAAAAATCTTAGAAGAAAGTTGGATTCAAATAAAACCCTAAACGTAGCATATTATATAAGGCTCTCTAAAATCATATTCTCAAAGCCTAGGAATATTGGTCGTCATCGACTTCGTCCTTGTTGAAAGCAAAGCTTAAGGATTACCATAAATGGGGGGTTGTATGAGTAGCTCTGTGCCGGCATGGGCAAAGGGAAAAACTAGAAAATCATCGAAGCAGAAATCAACTGGTAAAACGGTGGATATTCCCGAAATTGATGAACACAGCAGGAATGAGGTGGGAAAAGGAGATTTTGAAGAAAATGGAGGCCTTAAGGATCAGCATGATGCTATGGATGAAAATGGCTCTCTGCCCCTGTCTCAGACAGGTTTGCTTGAGGAGAAGGTATATTATATAACCTTACACATTATTTAGTACTTATTTTATACTATACACAAAGCTATCTCACCCTCTTCGCATCGATCGATCGACTAAATAAAGCTTCTTATAAAAAATGAGTTACTCAATTTGAACTTCAATTCGATGTTTCATTTTCTTTTGGTTATTGCTTCAATATTTCCAGAATTAATAGGAAAAACATGTCGAGATGTTTCAACCATGTTTACTGTTTTTCATTAATATTTTTATTGATTCCTTGTGCATCCTAATGCAAAAGTAAGGCTTTAACCAGGATTATGTGTCATTGACAAAAAAAAAAAAAAAAAAACAAGGATTTTGTGTCAAACAGATAAATCAACATATTTAGCTATTTTGTATTCACATGATTTAATATCTTCACTAAGCATGTCTCGAATGAATTGACGTACGTGGATGAAATGATGACATTTTTGTATTAATTTTATGTGTTTATTTCAGATTCAGACAGATATAATGTACATTAATTAGCACTGATTTGAAAACATTACATATATTCATTTCATAATCTTAGTTCATATATATTTATCTGCTTTGTACATTTCAAATTAAACTAGGACCTTCCAGAAATTGAAAACTGGGGTATAATTTGTGAATTGGCAGGATGGTGAATTTGCAGCACATAACATAACCCTAGATGGTTGTACAAGGGTGCTGGATACGATATCAGAAGGATCTGGAAAGTCTGATGCGACTAATGGGCCTCAAAAAGCATCGCCGATAAAGGAGATTGAGCCAGTTGATGGTGGAGATAAGATTTTGCTCGAGGAAGATCAAGTGGTTGTGAAGAACTAAGAAGTAACATTTTTACTTATTGTTGGTTGAACTGAATGACTATTTTATATTTTGGATGTGATTGGATCTTGCTTGTGAATGTAACTATTAATTGGAACATTATAGGAAGGAAGGAGTTTCGAGACAATTATATTATTATGAGGTGTTATTAATTCAAGTTTAATATAGGGGTAAACAACAAAATTGACATAAATGGTTTAATTATATGACAGTCACGCTAAAATAATATGATTACTACATGAAATTGACTTAAGAGTACACTGCCATTTTTCCATGTGAATTATGACTTATCTTGAAATTAACCTTCTAAACTACAGCTGCCACATCCCACAATTCTAATAAAAAGTTGCTAAGGAGACTCTCTTAAGAGTAGTGCTACACTTACAATCTACTCCTACCATCATTTATATCATCTTTCTAATAGAGATAACGTCCTCCAACACATGTATGTCTCAATTCTATTAGAGAGATAATACAAATGATGAAGAATATAATTTTTTCTCTTTTAAAGTGGAACTCTCCATGAATTCTCCGTCACTTTATTTTTTTTACACAATATTTTATAATGTTGACAAAAAAATTGTGCCTAAAAAATAAAGTGGCTGAGAGCCCGAACCTAGTGTTTAGAGAATCTTCTCTAGCATTTTCTTGGATGAAATTTAATCAAATAGTAAAAAAAAAAACATCACATCCTACCAAATATCCCACCCAGTCTCACAACCCCCTTTTACCGTACCAGTGGCGAAGTAGATTTTTTTTTGGGGGGGGGGGGAAGGGGGGGCCGCTCAATTTTTGGGGCAAAAGAAAATTTCTTGTCTCGTATTATTATGGAAGGGGTTGGGGGGTAGGGGGCCTCTCAATTTTTGAGGCAAAAAAACTTTTTTTTTCTTATCTCTTATTATTATGGAAGGGGTTACAATCAGTGTTCTAAAATTGGTCTAGATAGTGGAGGACCGATACTATTTAGGCCGAAACGTGGAGAAAAATTAGGTAGGGGCTAGACGGGTTAGGTGGACTAGACAGGTTAAGCGGGCTAGGCGATAACTAGGTGGTGACTAGGCGGTTCCATTATTTTTAATTTTTTAATTAAGTTAAAGGATTTTTTTGAATAACCCACTTAGTTAATGAATTTTCAATTTTCGTTTTTGGTTTTTCTTATTTTTTACTGCATTTTTCAGTAATGATGGTAATATGACTTAAGTTTTAAGTTTTAAGTTTTCTAAATTCTTAATACAAGTATTTTATTTTTATTTTTTAGAGTGTAATTAGACACTTATTATATGTTATATAATAAATTTAATTGAATCTGCCTATCCCATGCCTAGTCGTCTAGGCGCTAGGCCCCAGCCTGCCGGCCAACTAGCTCCTAGCGTTATTTAGAACCTTGGTTACAATAATTTAGTTGATCGGTAAGTTTGGATCCAGGCAAGTGGCCCTCTACCACAGTAGTAGAGAAGAGTGTTTCCCTTACATCATGCGTGGGTCCGAGCCTCGTTGGTTCCCTAATCTAACATCTAATTTAACAAATGGATCGTTTGACAAAAAAAAAAAAACAAAAAGGTTTCGAATAAAAAACGCATGGGTGGTAAGCCAACATTCTATTTCCTAGGATATTTGTCCACATACAAAAAAATAAAAAATAAAAAAATCATTGTACATAGTTTCATAATAATTTACAAAACTATCTTCAAAATGTCTTCAATCTTTCTTCGTGAAACAGGCGAGTCCAACAAAAGCTAAACAATACCAGCATCTATCCAATGCAACTCTATCACTTAATTCTTGTCCAAGAACGCTGGGAAGCGGATATCATAGTTGGTTATGGAAGCTCAAGAAGAAGTACAGGGGAAAATCTATATCTTTTAGCGTAACTGTCTTTTAGAAGAGTTTAAAATAAGTAATTTTTATTGTAAATTAAAAGGCCTATTAATCCTCTCCTCCCAATCATCTTGTAAAGTGGAGGTCATTGTTTTATACATATATGATTTAACTCTATACTATAACATTTTTACACTAGGGGAAGGGAGAGTTCGGCTAAGCCACACAATGGGCAACCTAATTTGGTATCGAATTCGCCATCCACGAGATTCGAACCTAAGACCTCTCACTTCCAAGTGAAGAGGAATACCACCAGACCGTAGTATTGAGTGGCACTATGATCAAAACTAGACCCACAACGGGTTATTTTAGTTGTCTTTATGAACCCGTTGTGGGTTTAGTTCTGATCATATTGCCACTCAGTACTACAGTCTTGTGGTATTCCTCTTCACTTGGAAGTGAGAGGTCTTCGATTTGAATCTTGTGGAGGGCGAATTCGATACTAAATTAGGTTGCCCATTGTGTGGCTTAACCGAACTCTCCTTCCCCTAGTGTAAAAATATTGATGTACTAAAAAAAACAATATTGACCTAAAGACAACTAAAAGAGCACTAAAGGGCGGAGATATATGTTAAACACACAGTTGTATGAGGTTAGCCAAGTGCTCGATGAGCTGCCACACCAAAATTTGAAAAATAATTTTGGCGCTGCACCCGTCATTGTTGGGATACAACGAGGATAGATTCTTGCATCTGCTTAGTGCCGAATTTGAGGGGAGCAATTTTGCAATAGCACAAGGCCCCAAAATTTGGCTAATATATGATTACATAATCAGTTCTCCAATTTCATTATTTTGTTTGTTGTTTGGGCAGAGAGAATGAAGAGGGATAGAGGGATTTAAGCCTTAATATTATTATTTTGTTGCTAAAAAATTAAGGGTTGTCTCATAATTGTTGTTTATGCATTTGGATTAGTGTTTCTAGTTTCTACTTATAAGTGAAACTTTGTCGATTGGTTTCAGCTTATAAGTGTATCTTTGTTTCTCTCTTGTGCCTTGGTGGCATTTTAATTGTCTGACTTTGATTCAAACAAAAAAAGTACATCAATATTTTCGTAGACATATAAATTGCGATGAAATAAATACTCATCAACACATTAAAATTTTGACATGCGAGGGCTTCGTGGCATGCGTCATGTGTCTCACAAATTGTACACATGACACGTGACTTGTCAAAACTGGAAGAGTCATCAAGAGTGACGCGTCGACATTTGGTGGAAATAATTAATAAATTTCTTTATTAATCCTTTAATCAATTTTAATATAATTCAAACAAATTAATTGATTAAGTTTAAAACAAATTAAATACCAAATCGAGGGAGATTGGCTAAATCAAGGATGGACAAATTAATGATGAAATGTGATTAATTCATTTGATTAAATAAAAAAGTATTTGATTAAATCGAGATTATTTGATGAAGTCAAATTACTAATCAAGTCCAAATTGTGACATCTCACATCGCCTAGGGGAGTGATCCTTAAATGTATATTCTCGTCCCTACCTAGCACGAGGCTTTTTTGGAGCTCATTGGCTTTGGGTTCCGTAGGAACTCCGAAGTTAACCAAGAAGGAGGCCAGAGCACTCCTATGATGGGTGACCCACTGGGAAGTTGCTCGTGAGTTCCTAAAAATAAAACCGTGAGGGTGTGGTCGGGGCCCAAAGCGGACAATATCGTGCTACGGTGGTGGAACGGGCCCAGGAAGTGGTCCGCCCCAGGCCGGGATATGACAAAATGGTATCAGAGCCAATCTCTGGCCGGAAGTGTGCTGACGAGGACATCGGACCCCTAAGGGAGGTGGATTGTGACATCTCACATCGCCTAGGGGAGTGATCCTTCAATGTATATTCTCATCCCTACCTAGCATGATGCATTTTGGGAGCTCACTGGCTTCGGGTTCCGTAGAAACTCCGAAGTTAAGCGAGAAGGAGGCCAGAGCATTCCCAGGATGGATGACCCACTGGGAAATTGCTTGTGAGTTCCCAAAAACAAAACCGTGAGGGAATGGTAAGCCCAAAACGGACAATATCGTGCTACGGTGGTGGAACGGGCCCGGGATGAACTCCGAAGTTAAGCGAGAAGGAGGTCAGAGCACTCCCAAGATGGGTGACCCACTGGGAAGTTGCTCGTGAGTTCCCAAAAATAAAACCGTGAGGAAATGGTAAGCCCAAAGCGGACAATATCGTGCTACAATGGTGGAACTGGCCCGAGATGTGGTGGACTCGGGCTGGGATGTGACACAAATCAAGCTTGAGTTCTTTCGTCAATTAACCAAATCCAAAATCAAGACCAAATCAAGCCTCAATCAAAGACTTGGAGAGCCTATAAATACGAGGCTCCAAGACAAAGACGAGATCCTCAGACATATCCTACACTCAAACATCTTCCCATCTCCTAGACGCTCAAACACTCTACACACTAAGAAGACTTAGTAAGCTCTATGCATTCTTCACCACACTCGTGAAGAACATCAAGCACCACCACACGTGCCGGTTCCTCCATCACCACAAGTCAAACTCTTGTGGCCTTCATTAGTTTGAAAACAAATCACTATGACCCTTGGATCAACACCCCTACACATACACTTTGCAATTTATAGCCCCGAAGATCGAATTAGAGGATTAACATTTTGCATCAAAGATTGTAGCCCTAAACTTCATTGATACAAAATTTATCTTGTACACATGAAAACATTGTACCCACGACCAGCACCATGACGTGAAAGCAAAGTGTTGGCTATCAACTATCAGACATCTTTTTCCTCCTCCTTATTTATCCAGGCTTTAGACCGACAATTGTTTACCTTAACACTACTTGATAAAATTTGCAAAAATATGTGCACTATTTTTATTGTTGTAATTAAAACGAAAAAAGAAAAGAAAAAAGAGAGACAGTACCGCACCGATTTTGTATAAAGCTTTTAGCGTCCATGTGGTATTGTGACGTGGGGAACTACCAAAGTAGTCGGAAGCGCACCTGGCTATAGCTTTAAAGGGTAATGCTAAGGAGATCGAATTTGGAGATTAAATTTGCAAACTAAATGATATGTCACCAATAAGAATAAGCATGTTTATCAACGTGTACGTAATAAATCAATCATCAACTTTCATGTCCTTTGGTTTTCAAAACTTTGTTTACAAATTTAATCTCTTTAGCATTAAACTATCAATTTCAATCAGGAACTACCAAAGAAGGCAGAGGCGCGCCTAGAGCTTTAAAACTGTCAATTCAGTCAATACCCAATTCACTCCTTAA